CCGTTAGAATTTAACAAAAAGTTTAGTTAGTGTTGACGTGGAAAATGACGTGGAATTTTTAATTCAATTTTTATTGAAGAAAATAATGAAAATAAAGAATAATGAAAATTAAAAACTCTTTAGAGTGACCTCGACGCCCGACGATTCTTGCAGAAAAACCTTGTCGCCCGCCGATTGCCGTTAGAGCTCTCTGTTCGTGGTAAATTGAAGGAACTGCTCCATGGCGATTTGTGTCACAGTCGCCTCCACTTTTTAGTTGGAAATCACTTCGTGGGAAGACCCTTCTGAGGGATCGAAAGATCGAGCGTTGTAGATTTGGATTCTAGAGCAGACCCAACAACCCAATCTACCACCACCACACTCCTCCCACTCCGCCCTCACTTTAATCTGATCCGACAACCCAATCGTCACCACCACACTCCTGCCACTCTGCCACCACTCCAATATGACTGATAACACCTAAATTAGTGTTATTTAACCCTCATATCAAGGTTTGTTTCGTGTCAATTCATGTGAATAATTAATTGAACATCTGCGATTATATTCCTATTTCGTTCCTATGTGAATTTGATGTGATTTTAGGGTGTATTAGATGATATATGCGAATTAGGTACAAAACAAGGTCGCAAGTGTAGCAAGGGGGGAGGAAGCTGAAGATCGTGGTCTGGAAGCTGAAGATCACGACCGAGAACATAGAGCACGAACTCAAGCTAAAGATCGCGGTCGCAAATTGGAGGGCTTAGGGTGAGAACTTCGCGAGGAAGGAGCCAGGGAGACACAGAGACTTTCCCCAGTCGAATCAAGGCCACATCATTATTTGATCGTGCGGAAGATTGCGGTCGCGACTCGAGGATCGCGACCCATGTCATATCCGACGGCCAAGACGACGGCGTTTCAAGATCGCGCCCTCACTTGTGAGGATCACAACCGCGATCTATGTGCTTCTGGCCGCGAACTTCTCCGTCCCCATATTGCCTATAAATAGAAGTCCCCTTTCCCCCTTTTAGATGAGCTGATTTTGAGAGAAATTTATGGTTTTTGAGAGAGACAAGAGAGAGAAGTTGAAGGAATGAGAAGGAAGGATCTAGAAGAGAGGGATCATCTTCATGAACCCAAGCCTTATTCAATTTCTTCTATGTTTCTTCTTTCCTCCCTTATGGAATAGACCTATAAAGTATTAGGGGTTTTAAACCCCAAACCTTAGTTTTAGGGTTTATTATGTATGTATGAATATTTTAGGGTTTCAATGAATGAATGTGTTTATCTAGTTGATTCTATTGCTATTCTATCATTGATTATGTTTGGGTAAGTCGCCCTCATCTTTTCTATTAGCCTACTTTATGCTTCGACGATGGGTATGGAGGTCTAGGGTTAGACGGATATGCACCATCAAGCAAATTGAGATAGATGTATGAATAGGGACCTATAGTGATCGAGGAGACCGAACCCCTGCCATAGGTTAGCCTTCCTAGATAGAACCCGGATGAAATCTTGGTGTGGACGGTGGATAGTATCCATTGAAAGGAGCTACGAGCTTAATGCCCTAGATAAGATAGTCTAGATCGAGGTGACTTTATATGGGTTTAGGGGAGGCGTACTCGGAGGCATGTGGATAACCACGAAAGCCCACGAAAAAGATCTCACTCACCACATTTGATAACCCAAAGTATTTGTGTATGCTTAGTAACCCAAAGCTAGGGGGAGGATAAGTTCCCTGATGTACCTGCTTTTAGCTTTGGTCAATCTTTAGTCTAGTTATCTCCTAAAGTCCTCCACTCAAACCTCCAAAACTGATTAACTAATTAACAACAAGGTGGAAAATAGGCTAGGGTACCAGGAACCGAGTAAAATACGACATTGATTACCACTATATGACAATGCCATCTTAGGTTAAACTTGGTTTAGAATGGGGTAGTTGTTAACACGTGCTAACCATTGAGAATAATCTGCACGGATTGAAGTGATCAAGCTTTTTGGTGTCGTTGCTGGGGACCCTTGGTAACTAGTAGAAAACCATTTAGTTGTTAGTTAGTCTTTACCTTGTTTTGTTGGTTTGTTTTATTTTGCATTCTTGTTTGTGTTTTTGTGTGTTATTGTTATTCATGAATACCCGAAGATGGTTACCCTGAAGCTTCATGGAACAATCAAGATAGTAGAAGTCAAGGGTTTAGATTCTTTTACCAACGCCCTTTCCAAGGAGAAGAACTATACCAATGGGGATATGAAGAGGCTTCCCCATTTCAAGAATATTTCCTTACACAACCGGAGTCAAGAACCGAATTGGAACTCTTGGTGGAGCGGTTTGCCCGGGTCCGATGGAGCATCCTCAAGCGTGGAACAATCTTGTTACACTCCACAATCATCGATGATCCAATTATAGCTCATGGTGGAGCGGTTCATCCGGGATACCGAAGCGTGCTCCAATGTGGAACAATCTTGTTACACTCCACAATCATCGATGAGCCAATTAGAGCTCATGGTGGAGCGGTTCATGCGGGATACCGAAGCGTGCTCCAATGTGGAATCCTCAACCACCACCCCTATCGACTCATCTTTTCTATGGTCAACAGAAGAGTTTCTCCGAAAAACGGAGAGACTATGAGATATTGTCGAGCAAGCATGTGCATGAGTTGTTCACAGTCATCTCCTACCATTTGAAGAAAAAGGAAAGGATGTCGAAGAGGCGAGAAGGGAGGTTGTGGAAGTGGAAGTGAGCATCAAAGAAGAAGAAGATCTTGAACATTCCCAAGTAGTGGAACGAATTGAAGAAAAGAGAAGGGAGGTTGAAGAAGCAAATGGTGCCCATGATGAGGACGAGATCGTGGTGGATGAAGCTTCAACAAGTTACTAGTGCTATCAAAGCTTTCCACCCGACCTTGATGTACTTTTAGAGAAGGATCCTTTTTGAGAATTCTCTTTTCTAAGCCAAGGCCACACCGTCACACTAGAAAGTGGCCAAGTGTAACCACAAACTAATGTTTAGTATACCGGGTTTAGCTTTATTTGTCAACCCCGGTCCTAGATGTGATGACTACTCTGTGATGTTGTTGTTATCTAGCTGTTTAACTGTAGTGAAGTTGTAACAAATCTAAGCAAGCGCAAAGAAGTAATGATGTGATTCAAGTTTGAGAGAGGTCACCCAGATATGTTTCCCCCTAGAGTGAAGTCAAGCCTTATCGTAATTCACCAAGTTAAGATATAATTATAGTTATACTGCGAAAGGTTCTTAATTAGTTTGAAGTCTCGACTAAAGGTCTTCAGGCCCTCCCAGTCTGAATACCCAGTGCGCGACTAACCTCCACTACTAGATTAAATCCAATACATAGCAGTGAATTGACTCCTCGAATAAAATAGTTAATTCACCACCTTCAATTAAGAGTGCTCTATCAACCTATGCAGATATTCTCTTTCTAGGTCACAGCAGAAACTACAAGAATGTGATCAGGATTCATGCAATTCAGAAATCATGTCTCAATTGAATATAATCAATATACAACCAAACCTAACATACAACTCTAGGGTTCTTCATACCAAGGTGAGAGAGGGAGTTTACTCCATAGAGAGAGAAGAGAAATCATCTTCATATGCATAAATCATCGCGTGGAGGATGAAATTCAACTTTTGGTTGTCAATCAACACTTCTCCACGCTTCAATCGAGCTCCAATGGTGTCAAAGCTCAATCTAGGTCGCCTTGGAGGTTGGGTTTGTCACTTTCTCTCTCTAAAGCTCTATTTTCAGCTTTAAAACTCGGATCCCTTCTCAAAGACTCCAAATTGGGTTAAAACACAGCTCTACCCTATTACACGGCCAGACCACACGACCGTGTGAAATCCTAGTCTTCCCGTATGAATCCTGAAACGCGGCGTTGCACTTAGTTGGTTGAAGGTTCGATTACACAGCCAGATCACACAGTCGTGTGAAATCGGCTCTTGCCCTTGTAACTCTCATGGAAAACCCGCACCGCCAAAAGGTGCCTTTGCACGACCAGTACGGCTTGGTTGCATGACGCCTGTTACAAGGTCAAACTACACGACCATGTAGAAGCATGCACAAGTTGTGTAATTCCCCCAGCTCCTTGGCAAACGTCTTAACTGCGTCCAATCGACCCTCGAACTCGTTCCCAAACCTTCGTTCACGTATTAGGACCTGAAATATCACCAACAAGAACAACCTACATGAAATCGGCTTAACACACGAGAAATGAGCCGTAAATATCATAAGAGTGGTGGTCAAAATCATGTGCAAATACCGAGTTATCAAAAGTCAATTGAATGTGCACTACATGGAGTGAGGCAAAGAGAAAAAGGGCGAAGGAAAGAAGGAGAGGTCTCGTCGGTGGAGCCTCTTGACGATTCTAGTTCACTAGCCCTCAATCACATGGACTCGTCAAATGCTCACGACTTGAGACACCACCTCACCGATGAGAATCTCAACTTCAAGGAGGTTCTAAGTTGGACCGAATACTTGAAGAAAAATCATCCGACAATAAAACTTGAAAGATGCACTAGTTGGGAGGTATCCCAACACCCGGTTTGCATTTCCTTACCTTTTTCAAAATAAAACTTGCATGTTTGATTTAGCCTTAAATAGTTTAGCTAGTGAATGAATCCCTTCTATGTCAAGTATTATATGGATGATTGTTGGCGACTAACTAGTTGCTTAGGAATGGTTGCAAATGTTGTTGTTAAGCAAGTTGCTCGCCTACCACTTAAGCTATTTGGGGGGGGGGGGGGGGGGGGGGGGTAATAAAATGGCATGGCTAGCATAATAGTATCATAGATTGTATGCTTATGATTGTGTATGTGTGTTTGGAGGCCTTGGTGGGCTTTATCTTTATGAATTTGTGGATTTCGAATGTCGCCCACCAAGTGCTCGATGAAATGCCCGAACCAAGTGCTTTATTTCTTTGTTTACTTTTCGTACTTAAATATTCTAGCACTAGTAGTATTAGTACTTATATTATATATTATCGTCCCTATAACTCTTAATTGTCTTCCTCTCTATCTTATGCGCTTTATCGTTGTGAATACCACAGGAAGACAAAGACCTACACTTGTGTACCTTCACCAACCTACAACCAAACCTATGATTAATGAAGGCCTACACTTATGCACCCTACTCAACCCATAAACACCTATGGTAACGCTTCTTGAACCCTACCTTTAGCTCCCACATTGAGGACAATGTGTCTCTCAAGTGTGTGTGTGGGTGGGGGGAGGGGGGGGGGGGGTACACATTGCATGCTTGAAAAGTTCATGATGAATATGCCATGAATCGTTAGTAGCCTCCCTTGATTATGAATGTAATACGTTGATGATTGATCATGGGAGTGAATGCTATCTGTGTTTTGTGGTGTTGAATGGCTTAAATATTGTGTTTTGGAACAATAGAACCTTGAATGCTACACCCAAAAAATTTCAAATTTGAGGGTTCCAAAGCATCGTGTTCCTTGAAACCCCCTACTCGATATGCTTTGATTTGATAGATGATTGATGAGTTGTGCTCGCTAGGAGATAGTTGCAGTATTAGAGTACCGGTGTATGAGGGATTTTACTATCTTGTTCCTCTTTTGTGAGTTGATAATGTTTGCTATTTTAGTAAGAACATGTGTGCGGGATTCTCTTTGTTTTTGTTTGATTTTTGAATTCGAAACTTTTAAAAGATTTGTGCATATTAGAAAAGAAAGAAAAGAGAGAAAAATCTTTTGAAAATGAGGCTCACTTGAGAGGCAACCAATCCTCGCGGATTTTTGAACATTATCAACTCTTTTGTGAGTTGATAATGTTTGCTATTTTAGGAAGAACATGTGTGCGGGATTCTCTTTGGTTTTGTTTGATTTTTGAACTCAAAGATTTTAAAAGATTTGTGCATATTAGAAAAGAATGAAAAGAGAGAAAATATTTTGAAAATGAGCATCACATGAGAGGCAACCAATCCTCATGGATTCGGAGTGCCCTTTGAGGATATGCATGAGGATCGGATTGCTTTACCGCGTCTCGATCATCTTTCAGTACTTACCATCCCCCATGCATCTTTCCTCCTCGCAAAATCGTATGCCAAGGTCTAAATTACCTTTTAGCGATTCATGAGACCTGATAGCTCTCGTTTGTACCCGGCATGTGTGGGAACCCAATGTGGAGTGCAGGCTGGGAAGTGGTGCTCGGGCTAAGACGAATCCTCCCATCAACTTCCCCACATGTGACCTTGAAAGGGAAGACTATGATTCATCCGCTCTTCGCCAAGAGGGAGAAAAGCTTTTTTGCAAAAGCTTGGTGCAGTATAGGTCAGCGTTCGAAAAGGAGACCAATAAACGACAACTTCTAATCGTAAGAAAGAATAAAAGCACCTTCGAGAGTTCTTGTGCTTACTTGTGTTAGAGAATTCCCCGGAGCACACCTTGAATGTTCGGCCTAAGGTAGTAGGTATGGTGCTCACCCGAGAGTTTGTGCTTTCACAATAAGAAGAAAGTAACGGCCATTCATCTCCTTCTACTCTTTTTTAAGAAATGAAGAACTAGAGTGCATTCCCCATTGATTTGTCTATCATGTTGCATTAGGTTTGAGTAGGTTTGTTTGGGGACAAGCAAACACCTAAGTGTGGGGGAGTTTGATAACACCTAAATTAGTGTTATTTAACCCTCATATCATGGTTTGTCTCGTGCCAATTCATGTGCATAATTGATTGAACATCGTCGATTGCATCCCTATTCCATTCCTATGTGAATTCGATGTGATTTTAGGGTGCATTAGACGATTTATGCGATTAGGCACAAAACAAGGTCACAAGTGTAGCAAGGGGGAAGGAAGCTGAAGATCGTGGCCTGGAAGCTGAAGATCACAGCTGGGAACAAAAAACGCGAACTCAAGTTGAAGATCACGGCCCGGAAGCCCTAGATCGCAGTCGTGAATTGGAGGGCTCAGAGCACGAACTTCGCGAGGAAGGAGCCAGGGAGAAATAGATATTTTCCCCAATTGAATCACGAACACAACATTTTTTGACCGCGAGGAAGATCGCTGCCACGACTCGTGGATCATGACCGCGAAGTCAGCCCGCGATTTCCTCATATCTGAAGCCAAGATGTCAACATTTTAAGATTCCGACCTCACTTTTGAAGATCACGATCGATCGCGATCTTTGAGCTTTTGGCCGTAAACTTCTCCGTCCCTAGATTGCCTATAAATAGAAGACCCATTTCCCCCTTCTAAATGAGTTGATTTTGAGAGAAATTTCTGGTTTTAGAGAGAGAGAGAAGAGAGAGAAGGAAGTACAAGAGAGGGATAATTTTCCTCAACCCAAGTCTTCTTCAATTTCTTCTATGTTTCTTCTTCCCTTCTTTATGGAGTAGTCCTCTAAAGTACTAGGAATTCTAAACCCCAAACCCCAGTTTTAGGATTTATTACGTATATAAGAATATTTTAGAGTTTGAATGGATGTGTTTATCTAGTTGATTCTATTGCTATTCTATCATTGATTGTGTTTGAATAAGTCGCCCTAATCTTCTCAATTAGCCTACTTTATGCTTCTATGCTGGGTATGGAGTTATAGGGTTAGACGGGTATGCGCCATCAAACAATTTGAGATAGATTTATGAATAGGGACCTATGGTGGTCAAGGGGACCAAACCCCTGCCGTAGGTTAGCCTTCCTAGATGATTCTCGGGATGAAACCTCAATTTGGACGGTGTATAGTATCCATTGAAAGGAGGTACGAGCTTAATGTCCCAGATAAAATAGCCTAGATCGAGCAGACTTTATATGGGTTTAGGGGAGACATACTTGGAGGCGCGTGGATAACCACCAAAGCCCACGGAAGACGCACTAGTTGCCATTGAAAGGAACTACGAGCTTAATGCCCCAGATAAGATAGCCTAGATCGATGTGACTGGGTTTAGAGGAGGCGTACTCGGAGGCATGTGGATAACCACGAAAGGGTTCAAAAAGATCAAGTCCCCATCTGGCGAACGACCATGGCCCTACCACGCTTTGCAGCTTAGAGCTAGGTAGATGGTGCTTAGTGGCATGCACTTGGCATGCATGGCACTTCTTAATTATGTCTGTCGCGTCTTTCTTGATCGTTGGCCAGTAATAGCCTTATAAAGGGATCGTCCTCTCGAGCGAATTGGTACTAGTGTTTGTGCGCAAGTCCCGCTGTATATCGCTCACAGTGTTCACTGCACCTCCTCTGGTCCCATGCATTTTAGGTACACCCCGGAGAACAACCTCTTGCATAATTGTCCATCCACCATCGCGTACTGAGCTACTTTTTGCTTGAGCGCCTTCATTTCAACTGGGTATTGAGAGTGATGTCATGTTCCAGATACTGAACTAAGGGCATCCTCTAGTCTATGGATTCTCTGATATTCATGACTTCATCGTGAAGGTCGCTCTCCTTTGGGACGGTAACGTTTCGGACTCCTTCGAAATCCATGGCAGTTGCCAGCTGGGAGAGCGCATCTGCGTGCTGGTTGTCATCCCTTCGAGAGTGTTTGAGCTTCCAAGTGTTCGGTTGTGCTAGGGCGCTTCTGACTTTGTTGATTAGCATGGCCAGAGTTTCATCCTTGATTTCGAATGCCTCGTGCACTTGTTTCACCACTAGGAGTGAATCCGAGAAGATATGCACGTCGGACGCACCCAAACTGGAGAGTATACTGATCCCATTGATGAGAGCTCCGTACTCTGCAACATTGTTAGTTTTGATGTCTCTGAATCTTAGCGATATTTCATGGACGACACCTTTTGGTGATTCTATTACTGTTCTTTCCCCTGGAGTGGCTTTACCTGCGGCTCCATTGATGAATAGACGCCAAACCTTGTTCTGTTACTCCGAGGAATTAGTTTCGAGGGAGCATCCTTCGGCAATGAAGTCGGCCATGATTTTCCATTTGATGGATGGCCTTGGGGCGTATTCGATGAGTTCGATTGCCCATTTGGTTAGCCTGCTCGAGGTGTCCATGCCTCGCATAATATTCTTGAGCGGGAGATTGGAAAACATAGTGACAAGATACTCTAGGAAATACAGTCTTAGTTTTTTGGCTATGGAGGCCACAACGAGAACCACCTATTCTATTGGCATGTACCTTGTTTCCGCCGGAAGAAGTGCTTTGCTCACATAGTAGATAGGTTTGTCTGAGCTGTCTTGCACTCTCCTTACCAGGACTAAGCTTATGGCCAACTCTGAGACTGCCAGGTAGAGGTAGAGACGCTCTCCAGCGACGGGAAAGCTCAAGACTGGTGGAGAGCAAAGTTCGCTTTTTAGCATTGCAAAAGCTTTATTGCACTCGGCGCCCCACTGAAGTCTTGATGCCGATTTTTTGAGCATTTGGAAGAATGGAGAACATTTGTCTGCAGACCGAGGGATGAACCTCCCGAGGGTGACCATTTTGCCATTGAATGTTTGGATCTCCTTTATCGATCTTGGCGGCTTCAAGCTGAGTATGGCCTCAATTTTCTTTGGGTTGGATTCTATTCCCCTCTTCGTAATCATGAAGGTTAGGGACTTTCCCACTTTAGCTCCAAAGACACACTTAAGTGGATTGAGCCTTAGGTTTTTACATCGCAAATTTTTGAAAGTCTCCCTTAAGTCGGCTAGGTGGTCGCTAAACCTCTTGCTCTTAACCAGGACATCGTCTATGTATGCTTCTACATTTATCCCCATTTGGTATTTGAAGACCGCATCGACCATCTTTTGGTAGGTTAATCCGAATGGCATGACGATGTAGCAGAAGTTACCCATAGGGGTCATGAATGCGGTTAACTCTTGGTCGCTTTCCGCCAGTCTGATCTGGTTATCTGGAAAACATATCCAAGAAGCTAAGTGCTTCGTGATTTGAAGTCTCGTCGATCAGCTGGTCAATGCGGGGAAGCGGGTATACATCTTTGGGACACGCCGCATTGAGGCTGGTGAAGTTAATACACATCCTCCAGGCGCTACTTGCCTTGCATACGAAAACTTGGTTTGAGAGACAAGTGGGGTATAGTACTTCACTGATGAAGCCTACTTTAAGCAGTCGCTTGATCTCTTCTTCGAGAACCATTTGCTTTTCTAATGACAAGTGCCTTCTTCGCTGTTGTATTGGTATCGCTTTGGGTTAAACGGATAACCGATGCTCGGAAATTCTTCGGGGGACACGCGCCTTCATTCCCGATAACCCCACTAAGCTATTGTTGGAGGGTTGGAGATCTTGGACATTCATCTTTATGCTTTTAAGTGCTGAGTAGAAGAGAATATCCACAGAGCTTCTGTTGTCTACTAGAGCCCGAGTAACCTTGAACTTCGCGATTCTGAAGGAGATGACCAAAGGATCTTCCGCATTTTCTTCCTTGGCCAGCTCAGAGGGCAGGAAGACGACGTCAGTTGGCACCTTCCATTGGACATTAAGGCAATGTGCTAAGCGGACTCCCTCTGGTCTTGGGCGCTTTCTGCCCCCAGTGATTATTATAATTTCCATTCCGTCTTCGTCGTTGCGCGGTTGTCTATAGGCGGAGAGTGCCTCTGGGGAGAGATGGCTTTGTTCCGGGATGGGGATCTCGATCTCTCTTTTCTTGCCCTTCTTGCTTTGTCCGATTTTGGGCTTTGTGATCCCACTCGCGTTTCTTGGGAATGGTCTTGATACAGACTTCATGTCTCCAAGCGGTTTCGAGGGTCCTCTGGCATGTATCCGACGCTGGCTTTGAACTCCCTACACACTACGGTGTCATAAGTAGTGATTTGGTTCCAGTCACACCGCTTCTTTCCATCTTGTTGCTCCAGCCCGGGGGGCGCCTCATATTTCTTTCTGCCTCTTCTTCTCTCTCTTCCTCGTTCTCGATCAGTGGAATATACGTCCCTTCTATTTTCATACTCTGTGTATCTATTTCGATACACCTTTCACTCTGGGGAGCGTCTTCCATGTCGAGCGTCCCCATGTTATGGAGCATTGACTCGAGGACACCCTTGTCGGCCCCTATCATCAGCGGCCAAGGCCTCCTCTAGCAGTATCGCTCTTTGCACCAACTGGTCCAGCTTTGACCATGACAATAGTGTGGATTCCTTTTTTATCAGAGTTCTTTTGATCTTGATGGTGCTTGTGGACATCCTGAGGTTACCTGCGGCTACTACCGTAGAGATGTCTTGTATCTCACATGCGATTGCGTTCCCCCGGTCGTAAAATTTCGTAAACGGTTCTTCTTTCCACTGTCTGCATTTTATGAGAGCCGAGAACAACATTGCGAATTGCTCAAAATTCTCGATTATCCCTTCCGGAGGGAGGTGTACCATGCCTTGCATTGGCCGCTGAACGTGATCGGGAACGCACGACACAGATCTGAGTCTAACATGTTGATGAGCTACATCTTTAGAATGAACGCGCAAAGATGATATGTGGGATCTGCAGTACCGCTGTACGTGGGTAACCCCAAGGATGAGAAATTGGGGAAATCGGGATTTTGAACAGTTACTTCGACCGTGAGTTTTGAAGGACGTTCAGACTCTTATACTTTCCATAGGTCGACTGCAGATGTTCTTCAAGAAAACTAAGATCCACTTCTTCTACCTCCAGTACCCCGCCTTTTGTCTTAGCAGGATTGTCAACGATGTGAACGGTTTTCTACTTTTCTTCTCGCGCTCTTCCTCTGAACCCTCGTCGGGGTCTTCCTTTGCCTTTAGGAGCTGGAGGATATGACGAGGCTATCTTGCATGCTCACGATTTGTAGGCCCTGACTTTTGACCACCTCCTCTACCCTTGTTTCGTCTTCAATTCTTGGTGATATATCCCGGAGGGTGTTGTTCTCGGTCATCCCTTTGAGCGTGGTCTCGAACTCGTCCCTCATCTTTCCGTAGCGAAGTCGCGAGGCCCCACAGTGCGCGCCAAAACGTTTGAGCCTGATTAGTACTAGGCGGTTTGTGAGACTTCACTGACTACGAATGGTCCTCGATCATTTGGGGGCAGTCTCGGGAACCCTGCAGAAAAAGGTCCTCAGGTGGATCTTGGTACCTCCTACGATGCCAAAGTTAGTGAGAGAAGTGAAAATGTAGTAAATAAGAGAGAGAGAGTGGTCGATCCGAGTTATCATAAATGTTGTCCTTCGGGGGTATTTATACTAACTCTAGTTGAGGCTTGAGCATTTAATGGCTTGTCGGGCGTTCTGGGACGTCTTTGGACTCATTAAATGCCTCGTTAGTAAGAATCCCTGACATTCTTCGTAGGAAGGGGTCAGAAGGTCGTTGGTCCTTTATGTCGGACGGTATCGTGAGACTGACCGCGTCCCAATATTGGGAGGTCATGTGGTGTGCCTGCTTGGTTGAACAAATCGTCCGAGTAGGGATGGCAACAAAACCCGAATCCACGGGTACCCAATATCTGGTATCATAAATGTTGTCCTACCGCGTCCCAATATCGTGAGGCTTGAACAAAGACTCCCTCGGGGTCATTGTGGCTACTTGGTTGCGAGTAGGGATGGCAACAAAACCCGAACCCACGGGTACCCACCCGACCCAACACGGTCAACGCGAGTAAAATCCGTGTTGACGGGTTTTGGGCCGGGTTTGGGTTTAAACCCGTTCACTATTCACCGGGTTGGGTTGAGTTTGGGTTTAGGTAAACCCGACCCATGGGTACCCGCCCACACTTATATAATTAATTTTCTCGACATATTTAATATTCTAAACAACTAATCTTATTTATGTTTGTGGAGACATGTCTAATTTTTTCTTTCTAGTTATGTAGAATGAAGTTGATGTTATCAAGTGGAGGAGTGAAAAACTTAATTGAAATGAAGAAGCTTTCAATTAATCATATGTTGTTTATGAATAATTTGTGATTTGCTTCAATTTTCTTGAGTTTTCTAGGTTGGTGTTGAACAATTAGTATAGTTAATTTGTGATTTGCTTGAATTTTCTAGGATGGTGTTTTATATATGGATAATTTGTATTGAGAGATTGATATTTGACTTTAATTTTGATAGGAATTTGTTATTGTGAATTTTTTATGGCAAAAACCGTGGAGGAAGAAGCTGGCGGACAGGGAGCCGAAATCAAGGAAAGATTGAGAAAAAGAAGGAAGAGAGATCTGGCTGATATGGAGGCGAGAGAGATCTGGCTGAAAAATTGTCGAAGTGAGAGAAAGAGAGAGATTAAAATTGTATTTAATATATTTATGTAATTTCCTAAAAGATAATTTATTAAAAAAAGATCATAATAAATTTTTTGTTATACCTAGTTTGCCCTTAGTAACCACGGCGATTACAGTAACCTGTCCCGGATTTAATCCCGGTTTTCCAGTGTATACATTACTGTCTCATCTGGTACCTCCCTCCGTGCGGTCTGGTAGCGGTACTTGCTCTGTTCAGGGAATGTTGTGTAGTAGTGGTAGCAGAGAGTAGAGATAGGATGGCGCTGAGGCAAGGGCGGGGCGGGGCAGCTGCCGGCTTCCTGCTTCCCACATGGATGGGACCTGGGTGTTATAATTCGACTCCTTCATTTTCTTATCCGGAGGCGGAGCGATTGTAACCATATGTGAAATATAAACGTGGCTGTTGAAGAAGCCATTGGCAGCAATGGTTTGGTGGTCCTCCACCGAGCGGCAGAGAGCATTAATTTGTGGCCCCCGCCCCGTGCAGCCAGCGATCAAAAAGGTTTACCTCTTTTGGCCTGCTTCGTTTAATTCAATCCACCCCGCCGTGGTAAAGTAGCGTTGTCCTCTCTCTGTGACCGTGCTTCGTTCAATCATCGACGGATGAATTCTTTGAGATGGAAGGCTGTCCTGTCGGCGGTGGGGACCCCATGAGCCTGACCTGAACCCAGCGTCTCTCCTCCTCCTCCACTCCTATTTTCGGTGTCGTGGCTTCAATGCCAAACATAATTCGGACACCCTTATCTTCCTCGGTTTCACCCTCTGCGCCTGCGCCCTCCTAATGGAGAAATCTTCGGCGAGCAGCAGCAGCAGCAGCAGATGGATGGCGTTTGAGGAAAAGCAGAGTTCCGCTCCCGGCGGGGTGGCCGCCAGCATAGCGGAGAGGACGGCGGAGTGGGGCCTGCAGGTGGTGAGGTCCGACGCCGGAGAAGGCAGCTTCAAGGCGGTGAGGCGCTCATCCGGCGAGCAGGGCGGCTTTATGTCGTCGAGGACGTCGGAGGAATCGGACGTCGGGGCGGCGCTTCCCAGGGTGTCGCAGGAGCTCAAGGATGCTCTCGCCACTCTGCAGCAGACCTTTGTGGTCTCCGACGCCACCAAACCCGACTGCCCCATACTCTACGCCAGCAGCGGCTTCTTCACCATGACTGGCTACTCCTCCAAGGAAGTCGTCGGCCGTAATTGGCAAGTCCTCTTTCTCCTCCTAACCCCATCTTCGCTTCTCTCTTTTCTTTTCTTTTTAATTCACCAACCAAATAAGACTACTTTTTTTTCTTCCATTCATGTCAATGAGCTGAAGATCAAATTTAAAAAGGAATTTTTTCAACCAAAAATAATAAAAATAAAAAAAGTTGGCCCGTAGCGGCGGATAAATCGTTATTTCGAATCTGCAGTCAGTGAGGAGATTGATAAGATTTATGTATAGTCTTTTGTGTGCTTGCTTTCTTCTGTTTGGATAAAATAAAAGAAAGGAGATTCACTTTATTAATTTATTTATATGGTGTTGCGGATGGGGAAAGAAAGTAGGGAGGACGAAGAATGGACAATTGACTGATTCACTGAGGGTGTCTTTATCTTTATTTTAATAATAATTATTATTATTATTTTATACTCTCTCTCTATAATATATTTTTGTTAGCAATTTAATTTGATTAGTTACTGACTGAGTTGGGGCGGGGCGGCAGCCGATTCCTGCAAGGGCCGGACACAGACGAGAAGGAAGTAGGCAAGATTCGAGACGCGGTGAAGAATGGGAGCAGCTACAGCGGCAGGCTTCTCAACTACAAGAAGGATGGCACTCCTTTCTGGAATCTCCTCACTGTTACTCCCATCAAAGATGACCTCGGCAACACCATCAAATTCATTGGGTACGAGCGAGAGATTCCTTTCGCTAGCTGCTCTTTTTTCTTTTTTTGCTTTTGGTGCTGAATTTCGCGCTGCCGCAGGATGCAGGTGGAGGTCAGCAAGTACACAGAAGGCATCGTCGACAAGGCCTTGCGCCCCAATGGCTTGCCCAAATCTCTCATTCGTTACGACGGTACTCTTTACTTTGCTTGCCTTCAGAGTTCGTGCACCACTTTCTTCTTTGGGTTTGGCTGATTTAGCTCACCACTTGCTTTCAAATGTCTGTTCAACTTCCTGCCCACCTTTTCTCATTTTCAGCACGTCAGAAGGAGAAGGCTCTGGATTCAATCACTGAAGTTGTGCAAACGGTCAAGCATCCCAAGTCCCATAGACGGGCAACGAGTCACGACATTGCCAACAATCTTGATTTGGTCCTGCCCGAATCTGCTGAAGTTATGTCCATGCCTACGCCTGGTGGAGAAACTCCTCGTTCCGACTCTGGAGCCGGGGCTTTTGGCATTGGTAGTCCTCATGTTTATGCTCATAAACACAGAAGTTCTTTGAGGATCTCCTTAATGGGGTCAGTTCATCTTTGCCCTCTCCCTTTTGCCTCTTTCAGATAGATTACCTTTCATGTATTGCGGTATGGACTAGAAAGCTGTTAGCTACCTGTAACAACCTAGTTACCAAGATTTTGAGAGTTAGGCTCAGCAATTTTTTAGTAGAAATAAATGTTACTAGCATCTTGGAAAGACCATAGACATTTGGTAGGTGTACTCTTTCTCTGAGTTTCAACCATTTTTACTATGTCTAATACTGATGTCTTGTATCCTCCAGCCGGTTTAAAGGTCCTTCTATTAGTTCTTCGAGGAAGTATGAAGAGCCACCAGTTATGGAACCGGAGATTTTGATGACCAAGGAAGTCAGTCGTACTAACAGTTGGGAACATGCTGAACGAGAAAGGGACATGCGCCAAGGTTTTGATTTGGCAACCACATTAGAGCGGATTGAGAAGAATTTTGTGATCACAGATCCAAGACTTCCTGATAACCCTATTGTAAGTTTGCTTTTAGCTACTAATAAACCCCTCCAATTCATTGCCACTTCGCCCTTCATATTTATGTGGGTGCATAAAGATAACTATAATTTTACCCAAAATAAAGTTTACACCATAAATTAGAGGCCTCACTAAGTTCAAGAGCTCTCTACTTGTGCCAAAACAAAGTTTTTTAGAAAGATACAGGGAAGTGATGTGCTAAGGGTCAATGTGGAACATCTTAAGCTACTTGAACTTAGAAGAAACAAAACAAATGAGAGTTTGATAGTATTGAATGGAGGAAGAACCACCTACACCAGTTGGATAAGTCTTATCAGTATGGTGCCTTAAAAACACGAGAGCGACTCATGCAACAACTCTGATGTCTGAAAACCAAATGATTAGCACTCATACAAGCATACGAAATGAATTGCTATCCTGGTATGAAACTGAATATGAAGTCATATTCCTACTAGCAAACAACAAAAATTTTACTTAGGAAATATAAACAAACACTTAATTTCTAAAGGAATTTCCACACCAACAAGGGACAGGATTAGTCCAGTTCCCTTAAGCTGGACAGCTCCTTTGTGGTGATTTAACAAAAATAACAAGTTGCTGGAATGTTATTGCTTTCGTAAGTGAGCCTTCCGTCACATACCCAGGACAATATTGCACTTAATGTTGTCTTCTGTATTTCTTATACCTTCTTGCTCCTCTGGATTCTCATCAAGAGGAGAAACGCAGGTAGCTGTTCTAGTATGGAGATAAAATATTCAGATGTGAATGTCGTCTATCTTTGGATTTCATCCAAGAACAACCAAGTTGTGGTTGTCAGGCTTCAGTTCAGTCTGATGTGAATAAATCATGATATTCTTTTAGCAATATTAAAATAGAGCTATGTATTTTGATAATGCTATAAATTTCTTGGAGTTTCCATGAATATCTTAATGTTACTGTCTCAATGTATTTTCTTCCTGTACCAGATTTGTATACTGCTTGATATGAGAATTTAGTCCATTCTCAATATAGTAATTAAATGCCATTGGTTTGCTCCTTGCAGATATTTGCTTCTGATAGCTTTCTTGAACTAACTGAATTTACACGTGAAGAAATTTTGGGAAGGAATTGTAGGTAATGAATATATAAAGTACATGTCTTCAATTCTTTCCCCATTTGGGTAGCCTTGTTTCTCATAGAATGATAGCTTCAGGCCATTCATTTCTGCTTGCTATATGATGAATTGACAGGTTTCTACAAGGACCCGAAACAGATCAAGCGACCGTGTCAAAGATAAGAGATGCAATAAGAGAACAGAGGGAAATCACGGTTCAGTTGATCAACTACACTAAAAGTGGTAAGTATGTTTGGACCTATTGGTGAGCCGAATCAACTACTGAAACTAGATTTGTTTGCTTCTTTCATTGGACTCAATTTTGAGGTTCAAATTTTAGCTATGCCTTCTCTATCTGACAAAGATTATCTTTATTTGAAGGAAAGAAATTCTGGAACTTGTTTCACTTGCAACCAATGCGCGACCAAAAGGTTGCTAAATGGTCACTGTTGTAGACATTTCTTTTGTTTCACAAGTTGATTCTGTTGAATAAACGCCTTTGTTATTGATTTTAGGGGGAGCTGCAATACTTCATTGGTGTTCAGCTCGATGGAAGTGATCATGTGGAACCCTTAAGAAACCGTCTTTCAGAGAATGCTGAGCTGCAGAGCGCGAAGTTGGTATGAAGTTTTGTCAGTTTTGTAAAACAGGCATATGGGTTTTGGTCTTCTACATAGTGATTGTATGCCATTTCACGCATAATACTTTGCCATGTAGCTGAGAATAAGCTGGATTTCAGGTTGCTCATGCTTAGAGGAAAAATCCAAAAGCTTGTCTGGCTGAAGAATAACTCTTAGTCTACCTTTATTCTTGAGATTCATTCTTCGATTGCACTTGAGTGACACCTAGTTCTGGTTCAAGACCTAATGCCTACTTGGAATTGCAGTCTTTAAAATACTATGTGTTCTTTTCCAGGTCAAAGCTACTGCTGAAAATGTTGACGAGGCCGTTCGAGAACTTCCGGATGCCAATTTGGTAAGGTACTCTTTCCTCTCTGTGCGTGGTTTATAGCTAGTACATCTTGTCTTTATCACATAATTAGCAATCCTGTCATTCAAAAGATACTCTCATCTCTCAATTCTTGATGATGCACCAAGAAGGGACGCTTTGGCCATAACAGGACGTGCTTTTTTTATCAAGTATTATGTGGCTTTATAAGCCAGTTAAAGGGGTTAATATGCTTTCTCTAAGTAGTTAACTTGAAAGTGATGACTAACGTATCCTTATTTATGCAAGTAAACCAGGAAATATCAAAATTTTCTATTTCCTAAGTGGAAACATTAAAATTTCCCCCCTTCATTTTCACACCCTTGTTTCCACAATTCTCGAAGTTCCCAAATTATGATGCTGAATGGATTGTGGTAACAAAGAGGAATAACAAATGGAAACAAATATGTGATTTTCCTTTGCAAAAAAAATAAAAATAAATAAATAAATACCGAACATGAAAGTGATGACGAACGTATCCTTATTTATGCCAGTCAACCAGGAAATATCTTATCTCAAATGTCTTTCCTATATTTTGCATTCCTGCATTTTTATGCTTGATTTAGCCTATGGCATAGCATATAAGAGGCGGCTCCTTTTCTTACTCTGTAGAATCCAAGCTCACAGAATTTTATTTTATACCATTCTCCAGAGACCAGAAGATTTGTGGGCGATTCATTCGAAGCCTGTATTTCCACGGCCTCACAAAAGGGATAGTTCTTCATGGAGAGCAATACAAAAGGTATTCTTCATTAACATTTGATACTATAAGCATAAATGATAATGCCATTTATTCTGCTCCAAAGGACTTGTGAAACCCTCTTAACAATGACTATGGTTCATATTTACATGCTTTCCATAGGAAACACATCTTTCGTGAGACATTTTTTAGATGTTCTATGTGGATTGTTGTTGTTGTCTTTATTATTTAATGATACTTAATTCTTTTAAACTTCACCGGTTCATTGTCAGGTTTGTTGTCTCTCTTTCTATGACAAGGAAATTCTCTGCAACTCTTTATCCTAATCTTTTTGTCATGCTGTTGTTGATCCCTTGGTCCACTGTCCACCTTTAAAATGTTTAGTATCCTGCGGTGGAGACGCTATTATCGGTCAGTTATGATGCAAATATCTAAACAGAGAATTCTTTGATGGAGTTGAAGCTGGAAAATTGCTGCACATTTTCTTAGACAAAAAAACAAAAAAAGTGAAGATAAGGGTTCTAGTGGAGTCATTTTAGACAGTTGGTACCTTTATCTTAGACAGTTGGTACCTTTATCACCAAAGCTCCAGGCAGATACTTTCGGAATATATCTGAGTTTTTCCCTTGTTGCCTGTTGTCTTGACTTCCTATTATTGGTGTTAGAATAATGGATTGTGGCAGTTTGCTACTTGCGTTTTTCATGGATGCTGTTATTCTCATATAAAGGCTTTCTGAAATATTTGGTGCTGCAGTTTGTAGTGTATGTTATCTTAATATAATTTTCCCCTTGTTTTGTGGATGTATCACCTGTTAATGCCTCTCGTTTAGATGCTGAGTTTGAACTATTTGGTTTGCTCAGATTACCTCTCGTGGTGAAAAGATTGGGCTGCATCATTTCAAGCCCATTAAACCTTTGGGTTGTGGTGATACTGGCAGGTAATGTCAGACACTTATGCTAAATTACCAAACTTAGTAAAACTGCACAAGTACACTAATTCGATTGTTTTGATTTGGAGCTCTTAGGGAAATTTTGTTCCTATTTACATATTAAGTGGGAATGGAGGTAGGTGCCTTTCGTTTTTATATTTTCCCCGTCAATAACGGACAACAGTACATAGTGAGCTACACAATAGAAGGGACTCCCCTTGGCTGTCCGACCCCCAACTAATCTGAACCGTCCTCTGCTCACTCCTTTAAGATATAGAAGATGCCAAGACTTTAAGATGAAACAGGGATAGAGGGTGGCAGAAATGGATATGGTGGTTATTTGCAAATAGAGTTAAATTTTTTTTTTTTCAATTTAAGGCATCGCTCATATGGTGAAGTGAAAACATTAAAGGATGGTTAAGGCATTAGATAGGGAGAATGGGACAGGTTCTTCTTGGCTTGCATATGGAAAGAAATACTGATTAGAGAAGTGCCACACCTATGGATGGCTGAGCCTGAGGCACTGGATAAGGAGATTGTGAGGGGTACTAGCACACATATGGAATTTTGTACTTATTAGTTACTAATCCATACTCAAGGCCTGGAATGCTTTGCATGTTTGTCCCTTGAATGAATTTTGCTAAGTCGTATCGAGAGTTTGTAGATACTGGCCTATTTTTGTGTTTTCCCCTTTCCTAAAGATTCATATTTGCTTTTCAGTGTTCATTTAGTGGAGCTGGAAGAAACAGGCGAACTTTACGCTATGAAGGCAATGGAAAAATCCATGATGATGAACCGTAACAAGGTTTGTTTCTTACTAGTTCTTCATATGTTCAGGATTTACTTCATTTGATATGCGATTAACATTTTCTGTGCCTGGTTGACCTATCATCCTGATAAATGCGTGCATGAAACTTCCTTCAGTTTCCATCTATACATTCTTCTGGTTTCTTAGCTTTGCTTTGGCAGAAAATTAACTTCTTTGGAGCAATTAGCAACCATGTCTGCTGAGAATGAGGATCATTCTCTTTAAACAATAATGGATAAATAGTTTACCCTTGAGGTTCAAATATGAAATGTTCATAGATATAGTAAACCATGTAAAGTACAAGAGATGCAAGTATGAGGTGAATACCCCTTAGAATAGATCAACGACCATTGGATGTAAATTTCTCTCTCTCCCCTAGCCTTAGTAATTTAACAAACCCAAGGATATGGGGTAGACTCAGGTGCCAGGTATATGACATTATTAGGTTTTCCTTATGGATGCTACTAAGTCAATTAAGATTGTCAAGACTGCAGTCAGAATATTGCCTGCAACTTTTTCCCCTTGATTTCCCCTTACAAGGGTCAGGAAAGTATGCAATACATATTTCAAAGGGGCACATTAGTTAACGAATTAGACAATGAAGTTTTTTTCAGAGTTTTGATAATTGCTCATATGGATATGGTCTGGTGTCACCCTTAAATCACATTTAAGACCTACTGGTAGCAGGTTAACTAATGACCCTACTGTCTAATTCTTATGCAGGTTCACCGAGCATGCATTGAGAGAGAAATCATTTCACTTCTGGATCATCCTTTTCTTCCAACACTATATACCTCCTTCGAGGTATTCTTTATCTACATTACCTATATTTATAGGGCTTATCAGTTTATTTGAATGTATTCACCTGTCATTTAGTCTTCAACTGCAAATAAGAGGGTACTTTTTAAAAAAAAAGTAAATATTGTTTTACTTACCCCATGGAATTATTGATAATTGGTATCTCTCATATCCTTCTTTTCTTCAGTTGCTCTCTTTTATGAGAACAATATACCATGTTGGACATATTACGCAATTTGATCATATTTTGGCCTAATCTAATCATATTCTAAGTGATTTAATAGATATACTAGAGCTAGACGAGCTTAGAGAATCATATTCTATTTGTCAAAGTGTTGTAATGAGGTACTTGTAAGAGGACGAGTACTTGAGCTTTGCAGTTTTATGCAAGATAACCCTTGAATGAATTATGACCATATCTGTTTCCTCTTATCTTTTAGCTACTAAAATTTGAATTGAAAAGATAACTCTAACAATAAATTCTATGTTTAAATTTGAACTTTAAAAAGCAAGAACAACATTTATCATGGGTGCCACATAATTTTCTTATGGTAGAAAAAGCCAAAAGCCACCTAGTAATTAATTCTGTTTGTTCTCTAATTTCCCTGTTCATTATGAGAAATTATTGACGAAATTCTGCTTATTATAGCGATATAACAAAGACATACCTTCCATTCCATCAACTATTTTCTTATACTAAACAAATCTCTTACCACGACTCTACGCGTTATAAACCCTTACCAAAAACTGTACTATTTTTCCTACTACTAAACATAAATGAGATAAACAGACCCTAATTCCTGCTATTTGTTGCATTCATACTCATGTGCTTGCTTGCAATGTATTTCTGCTAAGGCTATAGACGCTAGCACCAAAGAAATAAAGTTTCTCCATTTTTTTGGTCCTAGTGACTGCTGTTTACCCCTCTTATTAAAGATTCTGATGTTTCTTTATCTTGGCAGACTTCAACGCATGTATGTCTAATAACAGACTTTTGTCCTGGTGGAGAGCTATTTGCAGTACTTGACAAGCAACCTATGAAATTGTTTAAGGAGGAATCTGCAAGGTAACTCTATTTGAAATATACACCCTTTGTAGTGCCCGATACTTTTAACTGTGCTTCTAACCTCTTCCTTACAGTTGAATTCTATTTAGGCATTGCCATAATGTTCTTTCAAACTCAGGTTCCCATGCGTGCATTTAATGGCTCTGTGTTAGACAGCCTCTCCTGAATGCTAACTGCGGGATATTCTGTAGTTTCCGTTTAAATCAATTTGGAAATCACAAACAACTAGGGAGCTGCAGCGTCAAATCTATCAGAATTTTCTTCATTGAGAGAAGTTGTGAATTGTGAAATTGACCTTTCTAGAGAAGTTGAGATCCAGGCAGGATATGTTTTGCAAAAAAATTGGGACATGATTTTCTTTCCTATCTCTTGAGCTTTACTACTTAATTCAACAAGCGGAGAATGCAGGGTTAGTTGCTTTACGACTTGTGATCTTATTCGGGCCTTCTGCACCAATCTCTCTTATGTTATCTTCCTTACCGTGGAACTTTATTTTTTTGTTAATTTTATTTCTTGTTAGTGATAAAAGTGTGCTTCCAGATTCTATGCAGCAGAGGTTGTTATTGGCTTGGAGTATCTTCACTGTCTAGGTACCTTACATAATTTGCTTTCCCTTATAAGTTCGTCAACTTGGTTGCTTCTATTTTTATAGAATTTTGGACACCTTAGTATATTGATTCTTTGGATTGATAGTGAAAATAGGAAATTATTTTACTGTTGTCATACATTAACGAGTGAAAATGTTTTTTGGTCAACTTGAACTGCATCTAATATGCTAGTTTTATGCAATATCTTTTCCTGTAGAAATCGTACTATAAATTTTAATGGTGTTTCTGAATGAATGACATCAGGTTTAGTGCTCTCTCTCTCTCGCTCTATCTCTAAATTTCTCTGTACTTAACTTAGGCTAAGAAAAATATACTGAGATTCAAGCCAGAGTAAATTTTACTTGAAAGGGTATGGCTACGCCGTTTTCTTATGTTAACTTCTCTACACTTTCACAGGAATTGTTTACCGGGACTTGAAGCCTGAGAATATTTTGATCCATCAGGATGGTCATGTTGTCTTAACTGACTTCGACCTGTCTTATATGGGATTGTGTAAACCACAGGTATGTATGGAATTTCATGACACGGCATCCCTATCTTTACGGTGCCCCTTTTTTGAGATGCCACATAGGAATTTCATGACAGTGCATCCTTCCTTTTACTAAAAAAATCAAACTATGTTCTTTTCATTCAAAGGAAAATGTCCTATTTCTGAAAGCTGTAGATGAAGGCATCATCCTCAATTTTATTTAACTTTTAGAACTGGTGGTTTAGATGTTTTTTACTGTGTTTTCACATGTTCTTTTACATAGTGCTCCACTTATCTTTGCAACTTCCTGAAATTCTAAGCACGTAACTATTTGTAACAGTTACCCTGTTTCATTTCCTTGAGCCAATGGAATGTCATGTTATATAGTCAGCACAATGATTTGACTTTTAGAGTTATTGGCAGACAAGTGCTTATCTTGTGTTTTCGATTTGTAGGTTATAAAACATCCTCCACCAAACAATAGAAGAAGATCCAAGAGTCAGCCTCCTCCGATGTTTGTTGCAGAACCTATAGCACATTCAAATTCATTTGTGGGAACTGAAGAATACATTGCTCCTGTAAGGATCATTCATGTTTATGTGAATGCCCGCTTCATTTTCACTTGAAAATTCTGATTAGCCCTGTTTAGTGAGAAGTTTCTATTTCTTTTGTGTTCCATTTTTCTTGTAAAACTCTTGATACGTATTTATTTTTCTTCAGGAAATTATCACAGGTACAGGCCATAGTAGTGCTATTGATTGGTGGGCTCTTGGTAAGCACAACTCAAAATCTTTCTCATAGTTTGTTGCGCTGCTCCTTTTACGTGCCCTTTCGATGTTTCAACAAGTCCAATTTTTTTTCCTGCGGAAAAGTCATTTCTTTCTCAAAATATATTGTATAATTTCCCTGTCTCTTGTTCTTATATGTACTAAGGTAAAAAAATGCTTCATTATTTTCCCTTTGCTTTATTTTTTTTGGGTATTTTTCGGCACCCCAGAATCATCAGCTTAGACACAACTTCATGTTTGAAAATCATTGATAATACAAGTGAACACTCTGCTTATTCAATTTTTTCCGTGCCAGATTGTGTACATAAGTTTACTTATCAGGGGAAGATCAATATTGTTAACTTGACACTTACAACTCACTACTTAGTTTACTTGGACAATACATAGCCTCAACAGTTCACGAATCGCTCTTTCTTATGATCTGACATTCAAATTCTAATTTTCAGGGATTTTGTTGTATGAGATGCTGTATGGTCGCACTCCTTTTCGGGGGAAGAACAGGCAGAAGACATTTGCCAACATTTTGCACAAAGATCTTACATTTCCGAGTAGCATACCGGTAAGACGTCTAAGTCTTGAGTTTGCTGTACCATAATTGTTGGAAATAATCCATTTGCTCGTGGTGAAAGTCCATAAAAGCTGTTGATTTGCTTGTAATTGATGGGAAAGCATTGTACTATATTAGAAGCCACTAAATTATCTTGACTCATTATCCTTCGAAGTAAGGGAGGTGTAGTAATCTTTAAGTTTTACTTGATGATGCAGGTGAGCCTTGGTGCAAGGCAGTTGATCTATGGATTGTTGAACCGAGACCCTGCTAGCCGTTTAGGGTCGAGTACTGGTGCCAATGAGATCAAACAACATCCGTTCTTCCGTGGACTCAATTGGCCTTTGATACGTTGCATGGTACGTGGAATTTTCTGTACTTTCCAACGCTGTACTTGCATTAGCGTTAGCCTGAGACTCCTTTCTGCTTGGTCTGTTTGCAGAGTCCACCAGCGCTGGAAGTTCCTCTCCAGTTGATTGGTAATGAACCGACAGCCAAAGGTGTTTCGTGGGAAGATGACGGGGTGTTGACATCAGCTGCAGACATGGAGATTTTTTGAGAAACGGTCAGTCTCTTTGTAGGTGCTCGAGCTCCTATTCTTGTGTTTCAAGCCCAACCCCACTAGTATTAATTAATGGTTATATATGTGGAAAGTGGATTTAATGTGCTATCTTCGTCTACCAAAAAATGCATTGATATTAACGGTTCTCTTGTAAAATGGCCGCGGGATCTGTTTTGCTGTTGCACACCTCTCGATTAGGTCGAGACAAATGTTGGATCCCGTTGCAGGTGGGCATTCGGTTGGTTTGGTCACAAAGCAAACCGAAGCTGAACGCACCTACGCTTGCCAACCGATTCTGAATCAAACTTGATTTCAATTCTGTCTGTGTAATACGAACTAAAAGAAAGTCTATTCAACTCAGGGTTGACCAAGCACTAGAGCGCCTATTCCCATCAAATACACTCTCAGTCTCAGTCTCAAATCTCGACCCTCCGTAACCAACCCATCCACAATTAACTCTCTCTAGCCATCAAGTGGATCTCTTCATTCCCTTTCCTCTCCCATAAACACCATTTTCCATTTTCCATTTTCGAGCTTATAGAATATCAAGGTCTGCCAATCGGACTCTAAAAATCAATACACATTTTCCAACGACCAGAATAGCCTTGCTTTTTTACTGCTCCAACATGAAAATCCCCATTCCCAATTCTACGCACAAGCGCAAAACCCGTACATTTGGGAGTCGTTTGGAAGTTGTGATTCCTTAAATTGATTTATTGAGTTAATTAGTGTATTATCATTTGATGTATTGAATCAGTTGATGTATTAAGCAAATACCTTGTTTGAAGGTTTAGACTGTGTTTTTATTGTAAAGTAAAAAAAGTTAATTTTGAGTGATTGTAAAGGATCTCTATTTTTTGTTGAGATTGATAATCCCTCAATATTGAGTGATTTTGTTGGGTCTAGTATTAACCCGCCTAATACGGGTCCAAGTCCACCACAAAGCGTCTCACCTTTTGCCCAAGCCCACTCTAGGGTCCAGTCCACCCGGGGGCGTACATCATCGTGAGGCGTCTAGTCTAACGAGGCTGTCCATTCACCGGGAGGCGTCCATCAATGGGAGGCATCCACCCATTGGATGCCTCCGACTCCTATATAAGGAGGCCAAGCCTTCCAAGCAAAGAGACTTCTCTCTCTTCCCACATTTTACCACTTATGGTTCTCTCTCTAAACCCTATCTCTCTCTACATTCCTCTATACGCTATCATATATCCTATTCTAGCTTAAGCGTCGGAGTGTAGATCACGGGGGTCGCCCCCCGACTCTCCACAGGATTCTTCCACTCCCGAGGAAATCACAGGAGGGAGTGCAGATCAAGATTCTACACTAATCACCCGACTCTAATCCGGGTCAAACATTTTAGCGCCCACCGTGGGGCCTGATTCGGTATTCTTCTCGTTTGATTTCTGAAGAGGGGAAGAGATCGCCTCTTCCGCGACCCACTTAGAGCAACAACAATGGTTGCAAAGTCCAAGCTCTGAAAACCTCACAAAATCACAGATCTAGGAATATCTTCCTGATAGAAAAGAGAAAAGATTCTCATCTCAGATCTAGATGGAGAAAAGAAGAAATCGATTTTCTACAGTCACCACCAATACTCATCTTTCGTAGATCCGGCGACGGAACCGTTATCGCAAGCATCTACTCTTTCCTCCAACTCCAAGCGGTTCTCCGCGCCACTGAGTTGAGCAGCATCAAAAGAAAAAATATATATTTATATCAAGATTTCGACCGCCGGCGAAAATTTTGACGACCAGAGCTCCGAAGAAAAGAAAGGAAGAAGAGCCTACCGTAGTCTAGGGGTGGGCGTTCGGTCGGTTCGAACCGAATCGAACCATCACAGGCCGAATTTTCGAGAAGCTCAACACGCCAACCGAATTCGAATCGAGTTGTAATTCGGTTCGGTTCGGTCCAGTTCGGATGGTGAAAACCGAAATTCCCTTCTGCTCGAGGAGGATGGTCAGAAGAGCGTCGGAAGGGAGGGCGACGAGGGCGGAGCAGTTGTCGGCGGCGGCGAAATACGCGGTGCTGTCGAGGAGGAGTCGCCGCCTGCCGAGGAGGAGGAGTCGGCGAGTCGCCGCCTGTCGAGTGTCGAGGAGGACTGGAGGAGGAGGAGTCGCGAGTCGGCGCCTGTCGAGTTCCGACTTCCGAGCAGAGCTGCTGCTTCGAGTTCGCGATTCCGAGGGGAGGGCGAGGTCTGCGACTGCGAGGAGGAGAGTGGAGACGAGGAGTCAATCACTCAATCTCCTGACCTAGGGTTAGAGGGCAGGCCGGCACTCGGCAGGCTGAGGACGTGAGGCCAGAGGCTCAATTCAATTGTGCTGGGGAGGTGCTGGGCCAGTGGGCCTGGGTAGTGGGCTAGTGGCTAGTGGGTTGGGCTGGTTATTATTTCGGAATTCGGTCGGTTATTTCGGTATTTCGGTTCGGTTCAAACACGTCTGGTTTCCGAAATATACTACATTCATTTCCGAATTTCGAACCTAATTTTATATATCTCGGTTTCGGTCGGTTTTTGTTCGGTTCGGTTCGGTTCGGTAAAACCGAACCTAATGCCCACCCCTACCGTAGTCAACGTCATCTTCTTTTCTCCAATCTCCCACAAAGAGCAGTGTTCTCTGCTACCATAGTGGCCTCGAGAATCGAGAAAGCAAAAAAGGACTGATGGAGTTTCTCTCTCTCTCAGACTAAAAAGACTGACCAGAAATGTCCAAGAAGCCAAACGACAAAAGTGGAAGGCTCACTGACGTGCTAACCTAATTCTCCCTTCTAAAGCAGGCTTTCAGCACCTTAGCCCGCTAACAGGCCCAATGCGGCTCCTAGCCCGCTCACCATCAGCATAGAAGACTTGGGCCGCCTCCAATCAAAACCTGCGAGGTCCGTTTTCCACTTCTAGCTCGACTCCTGCCTACAGTCAGACACGCGCGCGAAGCAGTTCTGAAGTCCACTACCACTCCTTGCAACATCCAGCTTTCACAATCAAGACGCATCCCAGTATGCTATAAGGCCGCCTTGATTTTCATAATGCAATGGCAAATATTAAACTTTTCTTGAAGCTTCTCCAACGACATGTAAATCACGTTCTGCCTTCGACCTCCCCGCATCCAACGCGGCCCACTTCCATAGCGAGTTGTTTCCTTTAACGCAAGCCACCACCTCCATCGACTCACTCAACGCGTCTAGCCCGCCACACAGCAACACAAGCCAACAAGGATCCGGCCCTCTAAGCCTCTCATCCGTCCTCATAAACAGGGCCCACCCCGCGTCGCATGGGCTACCACCATTCCGAGCCCGCCAACAATGAACCACCTCCGACGGCCCAACAACATCCAGCACGTCTCAGCGCAGTGAAGACTGCGTGTTCAATTTGAGTTTAGAGGTTTGCCCTACATTAACCTAGATAGGAGGCACGGAATGCCCAAGAAAACCCATCTCAAATTGAGCCTCTAGATAAGAGGGTTTCCCTCTAAGCTAGGTTAGAGTAGCAGAATAGATTGCCAAGGACACACAATGCACAATCACCATGAAAAATACCTCAAATCTTAAATTACCGCCCACACACAATCATTCAATCCACACAATCAACTACATGGTAGAAGTTAGGGTTCTACAACACCCAAGTGAAAAGGAGACTACTCCATGCTAGTGAAAGGAAGAACACAAAGGAAAAAAACCATCATTGTGATGCCTCAATCCTTCCTTGTGCTTGTAGAGATCCTCTCTTGAAGAGGAACTTCCCAAATCTTCACTTGGAGCAAACCCTAGCCTCTTCTCCCTCTTGGTTCGTGGCTATCTCTCTCTAGGTTTTCAAGAAGAAGGTTTCTCTCACTTTGGGCTCCCCCTTCTTCCTACTTTCAGCTCTCCTTTTATACACAGGTCGCGCCCAGTTTAGGGTCCTAGTTCACGATTGTGAACTAATGGCAAGGACCGTGAAATCAGTCCAAAACGTGTCGCTTCACTGAACTGGTTCGCAGTCCATGGCTTCAGTCTAAAACATGTCGCTTCACTTAACTGGTTCGCGGTCCATGACTTCAGTTCACGGTCTTACGACCGTGAACTGCCTCGGCGGTCCATGGTTTTCAGTAACCTCTGAAAACTCTCAGGAACCTCGCCAGTTTGCAGTTTGTGGCCCCAGTTCACGGTCCCGATGGCCGTAAACTCTGCTTGGACCGCGAACTGCGGCTGCTACCTCCTCTTTGCCCAATCCTCGCGCCTTTTCTTCCAACTTTCAACTTTGGGCTCCCCCTTCTTCCTACTTTCAACTCTCCTTTTATACACAGGTCGCACCCAGTTCAGGGTCCTCATTCACGACCGTGAACTAATGGCGAGGACCGTGAAATCAGTCCAAAATGTGCCGCTTCACTTAACTGGTTCGCAGTCCATGGCTTCAGTTCACGGTCTTACGACCGTGAGCTGCCTCGGCAGTCCATGGTTTTCAGTAACCTCTGAAAATTTTCTGGAACCTCGCCAGTTCGCAGTTTGTGGCCCCAGTTCATGGTCCTGATGACCGTGAACTCTGCTTGGACCATGAACTGCGGCTGCTACCTCCTCTTTGCCCAATCCTCGTGCCTTTTCTTCCAACTTTCAACTTCAGGGTTGGTTCCACATGTTGGACTCTGAAACACTTTGAAACATAGAAAACCTAGCGTAAAACAACCCTTTTTGGAGCTCAAATGCCACAAACGACAAAGAGAAACGGGGATAAAAAGTTGTCCCCAAGCAAACCATTTCACACAAGATAATATCTCAACCTTAACAAAATACTTTTGGGGACAACTTAAAGGGCACAAAGTGGGGAATCTCAATGGCTATTGGCAATTAACACATGGACCGTTGCAAGCGATACTGACATCCACCACAAACGACATTCGAGGCACCAAAACGGGCAAATGAAAAGCTCTCACCTTGTTCATGAATCAATGCAAGTCTCAACAAGATCACTCATCAACCAAAACTACCCATGCATAACATTCAAGTCCAAGTAATAAACGAATGGGAAACAAAGGTCCTCACCGGGGTATCATATGACATGCAAAGCAAGAATGAATCACTCACTCTTTTGACCAGTGGGGTCGGGACCTTTTTGGTGCAAAGAATGTGCACATTTATCAAAACTCTGCCCTATCGTCTATTCACCATGGCGGCAACCTCGAAATGCTAGAGTTCACGGGACGGTTGTCATCACTAGCTTGTTCGGAGGTCTTAGACATGGGTTCAAATGACTGGTAATTGTCTTGGACTTGGGGAAAAAGCCTTTTGGGTGGTGGCAAACACAACATGAGTTCCTACATCTTCACCTTAAAAACGAAGGTTTTATGGCTTTGACTAAGAACCTTCTGTACACACAACGACCACTAGCATCGGCTAGAAGCCTTACTTCCTTCCTTCCAAACCAAACTATCACCAATCACGAACTACATTCAAGCACACTTCCTCGACCTATTCTTGCTCACATTGCAAATATAGTAGTGAAGGATTTCAACAACAATTTGAGTTTTTCAATTCTTTGAGTGCCAAGAAACCCTTCCAAGAGCATACACTTTGATTTCATAGCCACTCTCTGCTTTATTTACCCCGTTTTATTACCTCTTTTTCGATTCCTTTTCTTTCTACTTTCATTTTCTCTTTTCTTTTCTTTTTGAGGGGACACTAGAGAGTGAAACACATGCCATGCAAAATCACTCCAACACTACCTCTTCTTTGATAGCAAGAACCGTGCAAAATCATCCTATTTAGAACCTCAATGGAGCTCCAAATCATGGACTCCGGGACACAAGGACAACTCACGTATTGACTTGTCCCGAATATCACAATTAATTCTCACCTAAGTTCCAAGTATAAACCTTAGTATGGTGCAATACAAAGCAAGTATGTTTAAATATCGACTCGGGCCGGTCCGTGTACCTAGTGCAGTCAAAATCGCGCATTAAAACGTAAAAACTCACGTTTTTACGTATCCAGGGCCAAAACATTTCGGTTTCTACCTAAAGTCGCTTAGTCACAAAAACTGGTAAAAACGTGGGTAAAATCGGTAAAATCGCTTACATTCGGTAAAATCGCGATTCTGAAGTGTTTTTATACGATTTTTATCATCTCATAAAAATGTGCTAATTGGCCCAAAATGATGTAATTTTGGAGACATCTCAGCAAAAATAAAAAAAGGAAAACATTATTCATCACTCGTTTTACAACTAGTATCGAGATAGGGGGCTTCACATTAGGTTGAAAAGACACCTAATGGTGTTCTCAACATTTGCTGACCTTTTATCAGTCTTCTCCCTTAATCTTCACCTGTGGCTCTTACCTGGGTTATGATAAAAGTTTATGGGTAATTGATCGTATGTAATTATGTAAACTCAAAACAGCTTATGAGAATTTGGATTCTCAAACTCGTTTGCGGGTTACGATCTATGTTTATGAGCTTATTATTAAGATGTTATGAGTTTTCTATACTTTTTAGTCAACACAAATTAGTTTATGTGTTAGATATTACATTTAATTATGAATTTCATGTAGTTATTCACTTATCTAAAATCTAAAATCTACAGTCTCACATTCTACATACTATATGTTGTACTTAACATATTTTAGCTATTTTAGAAGGTGCGTCAAAAACTTAAGCTTTTACGCTTTGATTCTAATTTTACGATTTTACCCATTTTCCGCTTCTAGGTAGAATCACGCTTTTAACTGCATTGCGTGTACCCTACTTCAATTGTTTGAAACATCATCTAGAAAATTAGTTTTGGTTGAAAAGTTTGCTAATTAAAGTAAAACAAGGAAAAAGTAAATGGTTTTGAAAGCTCTTTGTGAGAAGGATCACTCGGGTGTCGCTTCCCCCTAACTACTACGATGGCATGTGAATCGAAGTGATTGCTATGGGCAAGGTGACCGCGAACCGCTAGGAACGGCAACAATGGTGGTAGACCACACTATCGATTTCCAAACCAAGGGATACATTATAGGCTACTCAAGTAGCCATCTTGGTTAAGGCAATCGATGGTTGACTTACTCTCTCACTCAACCCAATGGTTGGTCGTCTTAATCGCGCTTAACCAAATTGCTTAATTCAACATAGAGTTTTGCCCTACATTAACCTAGATTGGTGACTTAAAAAGCCCAAGGAATCCCAACTCAATTGAGCCTCCCTTGAAAGGGGGGTTTTCCCTCTAATCTAGGTTAGAATGGCCAATTGGATTGCTAAGCACAAACATGCACAATCAACATGAAAAGTACATCAATCATTGAATTAAACAACACCCATAAACAATCATTCAATCCACACAACAACTACAGGATAAATAGTTAGGGTTTCACAACATCCAAGTGAAAAGGAAACTACTCCATGCTAGAAAGGGGAAGAACACAAGAGGAAGAGATATAAACCATCATGGTGATGCCTCCAATCTCCTTTGAGCTTGTGTTGATCTTCTCTTGGGGAGAATCTTCCCAATTCACCACTTGGAGCAAACCCTAGCCTTCTTTCTTCCTTGGTTCATTCTTTCTCTCTCTAAAATCTAATGAAGAATAGAGCTTAGTTCACGGCCGTGAACTCTTGAAAGCGTCCGTGAATTCAAGGTTGGCGTCGAAATGCACCTCTTCGCTTGCTTAGGTTCACGAGCAATAGCTCCAGTTCACGAACTTAGTGACCGTGAACTTGCCTGGCGTCAGTAACTTCAGGAAGTGCCATGGACGCCTTGATGTTCACGTCCCATGCATCGTCTTCACAGTCTTAGCAAACCGTAAACTCCCAAGGGAAACCGTGAACTGTCGATTTTCAATCTTATCCCGGTTTTCGCTCCTTTTCATCTAACTTTCAACTCCGTGGCTGGTTTCACCTGTTAGATCCTGAAACATGCTAAAACACAACAAACCTAGCGTAAAACCACCCTTTTAGGAGCACAATTGCCACAAACACCTAAGCAAAACGAGGGTAAAATGCGTACAATTAGGCCGTAGTCACTCCCCACACTTAGATGTTTGTTTGTCCCCAAGCAAACCATTTCACACAAGGTAATATTTCAACCTACAAAAATACTTTGGGGACAACTCAAAGGACACAAATTGGGAATTCTCAATGGCTATTGGCCATTAATACATGGACTGTTGCAAGCAATACCGACATCCACCACAAACGACATTCGAGGCCACCGAAAGTGGGCAAACGAAAAGTTCTCACCTTGTTGATGGATCAATGCAAGTCTCAACAAGACCACTTATCAACCACAACTAACCATGCATAGAATTCAAATCCGAGGATCAAATGGAAATGAAACAAAGGTCCTCTCTGGGGTATGATATGGCCTGCAAAACAAGAATGAATCACTCACTCTCAAGACTAGTGGGGTCAGAACCTTTTTGGTGCAAAAGATGTGCACAATCATCAACCCTTGACCCTATCGTCTCAAGACCACGGCGGTAACCTCTAAACGCTAGAGCTCACGGGATGGTTGTCACAATCAGCTTGTCTGGAGGTCTTAGACACGGGTTCAAATGACTCATAATTGT